TCCTGATTGGTAAGGGCAACAGCTTGAGCTCTATTACTGAGATAAGATCTGAGCAGGTCTAGAGCAACTCCTCTTATACCATAATTGGTTGCAATGGATAAGAGAGTTTTAAAGTTAACACAATCAAACGCTTTGCTCAGATCTAAAAATAATGCCAATACAATTTTATTATTTGCTCTGTGACTAGAGACAAGTTCATTAAAGGAAATAACAGCATCAGTGCAAGATACACCTTCTTTATAACCAAATTGTTGAGAAGATATAATATTATTGGCATTAATGAAACCCATCACCCTTCTCAAAAATATCTTTTCAGATATTTTTGAAAAGGGGGATGTAAGGGCAATGGGCCTGTAATTCTCAGGTAAATGTTTATTTCCTTTATTTTTAAATAGAGGTTTAATTAGAGTCCTTTTCATTTCTTCTGGAAATATACCATCAGCCATAGAAAGATTTAGAATGTGAACCAGGGGTTTAAGGAGGTGTTTTTTTACCTTTTTAACCACATAATTAGAGATTTCATCACATCCAAAGGACTTTTTGTTACTAAGTTCATTTATAACTTTTTCTATTTCTGTAGCATCTGTTGCAGACATAAAAACAGATTTATCATTAAAATTAGTTAAGTTTAAGTTAAAATCTACGGTGTCAAGTTTAGCAGCAATTTGTTGAGGAATATTTAGGTAATAGTCGTTAAAAATTTCCGCGTTAGCGGAAGAATCAGTGCAGAGCTTCCCCTGAACTGATAAAGCAATACTCCCTTCAGAGCACACTTTTTCTTTTTTCATCTTATTGATTATATTCCATGCTGTTTTGCAGACATTGTCTGATTCCTTAATTCTATTAGAATTGTTAGCTTTCATAGAGGCATTCAGTGATTTCATTAAGGATTCCCTAAGTTTTTTAATTTCATTGATCATATCATTCTTGTTGACAATATTGTACTCTTGCTGATTACATAGAATATATTGAAGAGATTTAATTGTCTCTTGTAAAACATCAGATTCCTTAGACCAGTGTTTATTATTTTTAATGTATGACTGGGTGGAGGTTCTAACAAGTGGACAACAAGTATTAAAGTGAAATTTAAAGGTAGACAAAAAATTGTTATAAGCTACATTGACATCAGAAGTTGATAATACCTCCTCCCAGTCTTCTTTCAATAGCAATATATTTAAGTTTCTTAGGGTTTCATCATTTACTTTCCTTTTCATAATTTGTTTCTTTTCCACTGATATATGTGTGTGTATTAAAACTAGCGAATAGAGCTTCATGATCGGAAACTTGACAGGTATTCACAATTTTTTTAGATATAAGCTTATTCGATATATTGGTACATATATTGTCTATGCAAGTACCGGTACTGTTTTTCAGATTTATTCTAGTACAAGTGTTGAATAGTGCTTTTATATTACAATTATTTAGGGTATCACAGAAATTGGTGGCTTTCTTAGTACTTTTGAGGATATCTATATTAAAGTCACCAGCCAAAATTACATTGGAGTTAAGTGGGTTACACTTAAGCAGAATGTTATTCACTATATCATCAAAGCACTCAAGTTCATGAGAAGAGGAAGAAGGAGGTCTATAAAGACCGATTATGGTACATTTAAAAGACTTAATAGATAGATTTATGGCAGCAACTTCACAGATCTTTTCTAGAGATAGGGTGTTAATGCTTTGGCACTCTTTTACATCACAGACAAGGTCATCTTTAATAAGTATGAGTACACCGCCTCCAGAAGTTTCTTTTCTAGCAAAGCTAGTAAGTTTTTTAAAGCCTTCAAGTACAAAGTCTTTTAGATCAATAACATTTAGCCAATGCTCAGTAATAATTACTAGATTTATTGAATGTTCATCTAGTAACTTCAAAAGTAAATTTCTTTTATATTTAATTGATCTTATATTAATAGATAGGATATTTAGAAATACCATGTTTGTAATGCACTTCTGCTGGTGAACTAAAAAAATTTTAGGTCCACAGGTTCATTGATAGGAAAGTTGTTTAGCCAATCAGCAATGGTTCTGACCAAGATTTCCTTGCCAGATCGATTGAGGTGGAGACCAGCCCTGGAGTAGTGGTCTCTATTTAGGAAGTCATTAACATCCAAGAATTGAAGTCTGTCCTTGATGATCAGGTTGTTCTTGTATTCTTCAATAGAAGCCTGTAGTCTGGAGTTGTAAGACATAATATGCTCACTGGTGTCTTGTTTGTCAAATCTAAGAGGGACTGAAAGGACTAGGACGTTTGTATGGTGAGCTTGACTGAATAAGTTTTTCCTGGCGTCCTCATGCAGGTCGAGATGTCGACATTTCCCATTATTGGTGAAGGACATGTCATTCGTGCCAGACATCTGGATAAGATAGTCATCATTTTCAAGACCCGCAGTTAGGAGATTAAGGTCTCTTAGGATTTGAGAGGTGTTTGCCCCT